AGTTATTTACGTCAGCTAATAATACCTCACTCACTGCTAAAATTACTCAAATTATCTTCTCCCCCCTTTCTACATGAACTAATAAGTTACTTATTTATATAAAATATATTACATAGAAAGATATAACTAATAAATCTAATATGTCAGCTATATCTAATATGTCAGTTATGTCACATATGTCTGATATGTCTAATATGTCAGTTATGTCTCATATATCTGTTATGCCTAATATGTCATTTATGTCGATTATGTCTGATATGTCATCTATATAAATTGATCATCTTTTTGCATCACATAAACTGTGTCATGTTTATCCGTTCACAATACATAATGAAAAATAAAACAAATTTTAGTATAATTTATTATTTTTTACTTTAGTTTGAGTAAAATTTTTAATAATTGAAATTTCTTTATTATTTATTTATTTTTTATTATATTTTTATATGAATTTATAATTATATTTTTATTATTAAATATTATTTATTTAAATGTATTGCAGGCAAATTTGCCTACAATTTTATTTAATAATTAAAATTATTTATAACAGTTTTAAATATTTTTAAAATAACTTATTTAAAATTAATATATTTATAATAAATTTTATAATATTTATTAAATAAAAATTCAAAAAAAAATGTAATTTATTAGTGATATTTAAAGATAAATATATGATAAATAATTATGAAAAAATTAAAATTTTAAACTTATATATCTTACTATCTATTGATCTTAGAAATATAAAAAATATAATAATTTATTAGGTTTTATTAAGATAAATCTAACAAACTAAATTTTATTTTTTTTTGTAATTATTAGATAATAATTATTTTAAAAAATTAAAAAATTAAAAAATTGATATATATAATAATTACTAATTTTAAAAATTAAAAATACTATTATTAGATACATCTTAATATATCAAATTTAATAAACTTTTATTTATTTTTTTATAATCACTAGATATTAAAATATTATAATTTTTTTATAATGTTTTATAAGCAATTTTAAATCTAAACTTTAAAAAATAAATAAATATAAATTTAATAAAAAAAATTATAATTTATTTATTATTTAAGTATTATATTAAGAATTAAATTGCAATTTATTTTTTATCAAATATTAAAATTATAATAATTTATAAGAATTTTATAATACAGTAGCAATCATAAATATCTGACCATCTGAAATCATCTAAAATTATTATATAACTATCCCTTAAATTTTTCAGGATTATAATGTAACATAATATATAATCACTTTTAAATTTATAAGTGTCAATGATATAAAAAATTTAGATGATCATTAAACTTTCACTTGAAAAATGGAGTTTTCTTTAGAAAAAATAATATAAAATTATCTTTTTACGTGAATACTCAGCTAGTCTAAAGTTTAATTTTAGTATTGCTAAACAGGTATATTATAGTAAATCTACAGCTATTTATTAGATTAAAAGATACTATAAAAATCAGGACTTAAGTACTTCAGAAAGACTGGGTCAACTTTGTGTAATAATCGCAAAGCAAGATGATAAAATTGTAAAGATAGCAGAAAAAAAAATAATATAACATCCATTTAAATACAAGAAAAAATGAAAGAAAAAGGTGTTAAGCTTAGTATGAAACAGTAAGGCGTCATCTTTATAAGTCTGAAGAAAAGTTTAGTAATGAAAATTTTAAACCTTTACTTAAAGAAGATCATTAAAAGAAAAGGTTATAATTGGCAAAAAAACATAAGAATTTTAATTAGAATTAGGTTATTTTTACAGATAAGAATATATTTTAATTATATATATCAAAAAAAAGTTTGACAATTTCTTGGTAGAAAAAAAGTATTTCGTTCTGTTAAGCATCTACCAAAAGTTCATGTTTGGTGATGTTTTTCTTCTTCTGGATTTGATAAGTTATTTTACTTTCAAAAGAACCTTAATGCTAAATTTATATATACTATTTATGAGCAGAATCTTCTGATTTCTACCTTTAAACTTTTTGGTAAAGATAACATAGATTGGATCTTATAAGAAGATAATAATCTAAAGTATTAATCGAATAATATACAAAAAAATTTGATCAATTAGCAGGTTAAAGGAGAACTTACAAAGAAATGGAATTGATTATCACCTGTATTTATTGTAAATTTGGTAGCTAGCATAAAAAGGCATACAACTGCACTTATAGAGTCAGATGATGATTACACAATGTATTAATTTTAGTTAGTTAGTTATGTATTTTTAAATAAAAAAATTTTGAATTTATTTACTTGTAGCCAGAGTTAGAGGCAGTCAGATACTTATGACTGCTACTGTAAAAAAAAATTCATAAAGATATATGATCCTTTTTTAAACATTATTTCTATTATTATTAATGATTTTAAAATATTTTTAAAATGATATTAAAAATAATGTTAATAAACATTCTTTAAATATTACCTTTAAAATGTTATTTAAAAAAGCATTATTAGTCAAAAGAACTTAAATATTCTTAAATAATTTCAAATGATCTAGAAAGTATAATAGAAAAATTTAATTATTTTTTCTAAAATTACCTTTAAGAATCAATTTCAAAAAGATTGTTAATAAATGATATTGAAATCCTTAAAATAACTTCAAATAATCTAAACTTTATTAAACATGATAAATAAATACAAAAATTTTTAAATGAATTAATGATATTAGTTTGTAAGGGAACAAACAAATAGAAAAAATTCTAAATAGAAAATCATTATATTTTAGAACTTTTCGTGTGAATTCAAATTATAAAGATAAGAAATAGAAAGTTTTTGGGATTGAAGAAATTTATAAATGATGTTTAAAATAATTTACAAATTCAAATAAGTGCTTCATTAACATTTATATAGCAAATTGACACTAATTTCGAGCGGGATTAAGATTTATTACATCAAAAAATTTCGTTATTAAATTCTTACAGAACCGTTAAAATTATTAAAAAATTTCGAATTTAACACCGCAATAACAATTATTGATAATCTTTAATGTATACTAATTTCTCGGATTTCGTGTGGAGGGGAAGATTAAGAACTAGTTCTTAATCTTCCCCTCCACTGCCAGCACACACATCAAATTAAGAATATCTGAAATCATCCTTAATCATAAAGATCGAATCAGGTTTCTTTAATGCAATTGTATTCTAAAGAGTCAATGAAATACATAAAATCGATACGTCATCAATCTAAGAATATATCATCAAAAATGTAAAACTTTTTATGAAATTTTTAATGAAGGCTTTGAAAAGATTTTTCTTCTAACTACATAATCGAATTAAGAATATGTGTTAAGTTCGGAAGTATAATACACAATTGACCAATTGCTTATTAAATTATTATTTAACCTTTGTAAAATCTTACTAGTTACATAATAAAGGGAAAAAATATAATTCTCAAAGTCCATTAATTTTGGTTTGAATACCATGATGAAAGGATTTTATTATACAGTATTCATTCTGTTGCACATGATCAATATAAGCGGTCACATAAACGCGGAATTTAAAAAAAAATTTTTTTTTTTTCGCGTATTTTAAATCTAATTACCAAATCGTAAAAAAAAAAAATCCGAATACAGACATTTCATAGTCAAATCACAAGGAATCATACGTGTGTAATGTTTAAGCCTCCAATGTTATTGTTAGAAATACTTTTTTTATTTTTATTTGATAATTAATACATTAAAGAACATATTAAATGGAAGTGTTTTAATTTTTATTTATTTATTTATTTTTTTAGATGATTTTGTCAAAGAAAAATTTCACAACACAACGAAACTTTCCTTTAAAAGAAGATTTCCAATTTTATAATGCTACTAAAAATAGTTCGATTAGAAATAGAATGATTTTCTGGAAAAATTTCCACATCTAACATTTAAAAAATAAACACACTCATTTAGCCAGCATTTATAAATTATAACACTGATTCGTTCGGCATAAGAGTTTTTTTTTTTTGCTACGCCAAACATCTTGTATTACCATATGCGTAAATACAAACTTTAATTATATAACTCACGTGTTGCGCGAACCTTCATGCACCAATATTTATTTGATATGAAATTTTATCTTATTTACTACACAGATCAAAGATAAATTCTTAATATTTATTTATATTAATTTATTAATTAATTAAGTGATATCATAAAAACACATTTATTTATCGTAAGTAAATTATTAGATTCTCTGATCAATCGGTTAATGAAGGCTGTGCCGGCTGTGTTAAACGTATAAATTATCAATAATTTCGGAAATCTACAATTGGCTAAGTAAGCAAAGTAAAAATTATCATCCGATCGATCAAAGCATTAATCTCACGAGAAAAAAAAAAAAAAAAAGAGGAAAATAAAGGAAGAAAAAATTTTAATATAATATTTTTTCCTCAACGAGTTGGTGACAATGTAAATGTAAATGCAAATGCAATTAACGTCAATTATAAATGCGAAAGTCATCAAAGTCATTTGGGCGACACAGAATTGTCGCGCGCCTCAGCAATTTCCGAAGGAACTCCATTAAAAATTAAGGTGATCATATTCCTAACTACAATGATCATGGTTTGGGGTTATTATTAAATTTTTTCTTTTTTTGAAGTGATGCTAAAATAAATTTATTCGGTAGGTTTTTTATATTCATAGATTCACATTTACTATTTATGTAACGTTGCAATTTCTTTGTATGAAACTAAAAAATGCAGGGGATGTTTATTAAAAAAATGATGCGTTCCCAGAATAAAACTCGGTCGATTTATTTTTTGGTTATTCCTATATATGGTTGTTTCTATGAAAAAATATTTTCTATAATATCATTACTAATATATTTTTGGATTAAAGAATATATATTACACAGTATTACACAGTATGCTAGGCTTCATTGAAAACTCTTTTGCATGCGAAAGAAGTTGAAACTAAAGACAAGATAGCATAATGGCTGATATATTTATGTTTCATCAAAAAAAAAAAAAAAAAAAAAGAGATCTGAATCAATCACAATAATAAACTCAATCAGACAATGCCATCATTTGAATGCAAGTCTAGAGCAGAGTTTGACTTCCAAAGACAAAGCATGCATGGTTTATATATATATTTCTAAGAATCATATTTGGAATCATTTGGTTAGTTCCTATTAGGGAATCATAAAGTTTTTCGAAATAATTAACCCATAATAGTTGAGTTCATTTAGCATCAACTAATACAGTACGTTTATTTTTCAGTTTAGGTTTAGATGTTTTTTTAAGTTTCAAACAAGGAGAAGGGAAATTATCATGTGATTCGGGTATTTCAAAAAAAAAAAAAAAAATTATGATAGTGGCTTAAAAATATAATAAAATTCGTTTTAATTAAAAGGTTTTCCCCGAACAAAAGACAATGCTTGCTTTGTCATAAAATAATTTTGTTAAATGACATTTTTGTATTAACTTCCTAAATGTTTAACTTTAAACCTGAATCAAAACTTGATATAACCAAAACTTTTTTTTTTTAAAAAAAACAAACATGAGATATGACGGAAGAAAATTTAAATACCATCATTATTAAATAAGAACTGTTAATAAAAGGATCCATTTCATTATATAAATCAATATTTTTTTCAATAAAGCCACGTTTTTTTTATTTATCATACGAAATTTATCGGAAAATGCAAAATGATAATCCTTTTACAGGTTTTTAAATAGACTTTTTTTTTTGTTTCGATTTTTTTCTTTCTTTATTTATTTATAACACGAATTCAAAACATTCCAAAAACAAAACAAAAATCCTATTTTGAGATGAAAAAAAAAACAAATCGTACCCACGTAATTGTACCCCCATTTTTCTTTTTAGGTCAAACTAGAAGAGCGCCATAATACGATATATATTATAATCATTTATTTATGTAAGATAATATCATTTCATTATTTCATTATATATAAACTAGAAATTTATCATAAAAAAAAAAAAATTCCATCAAATTACTTGTTTTTTTTCGTTTCGAAAATTACCCCCATTTACTTTGAAATAATACATATACCTTTTCTTGGGGTACTCCAGAAAAAAAAAAAAAAGAAAAATCAGATTTAGTTGTAAATAATTAAAATCTATTATAAAAAAGTCATTTTTTTTAAAAAAAAGTTTTTCCAAAAAAAAAAAAAAAAAAAAAATCCACCTTCCGCTTTGAAGCGGTTCAAATTCAATAATCAAGGGTTTCATGATTAATCGATGCTGATGTATCATTATAAAGTGAGAGGTTCCCCGATATTTTCATTAAAAACGGTTTTTCTTTTATTTTTTATTTTAAACGTAACAAATTCACAATCTCCCGAAGTAACGTATGTAACACATCCAGAAAGTGAATCGGGTTTAAAGATCGTTCAAGCTGATTCATATATTACCAATTCCGCTATCTGTTTTCGTTTAGCTAAAAAAAGTCCATATTTCGAAGGATGTAATGAAGAAACAGTTTACTTAAGATTACTAAAACAAGATGGTAGCGTTAGGAACTTGGATTTTACTGGTCTACCTCAAGAAAGTTTTTGTAGGGGTAGTCCTGTTGGTGTTTCATTTCATAAAAAACATCATAAAAACAAAGATTGTGAAAATTATGATGATGATGATGACTACGACTCACATAAAAATACAAATAAAAAAAAGAAATGTAAAAAGCACAAACCTTCGGATTGTAAATATGGTGATCCTGATCCAAAATGTGGAAAAATGCCAAATGAACCAGGTGGCGGAGGAAAAACTCCAAATGCACCCGGAGGTGGTGGTGGTACGCCAAACGCACCAGGAGGTGGCGGTGGAGGAACTCCAAATGCACCCGGAGGAGGTGGCGGTACGCCAAACGCACCAGGAGGGGGTGGAGGAACGCCAAATACACCAGGAGGTGGTGGAGGAACGCCAAACACACCAGGAGGTGGTGGAGGAACGCCAAACACACCAGGAGGTGGTGGAGGAACGCCAAACACACCAGGAGGTGGAGGAACGCCAAACGCACCAGGAGGTGGTGGAGGAACGCCAAACGCACCAGGAGGTGGTGGAGGAACGCCAAACGCACCAGGCGGGGGTGGAGGAACGCCAAACGCACCCGGAGGTGGCGGTGGAGGAACGCCAAATGCACCCGGAGGAGGTGGTGGTACGCCAAACGCACCCGGAGGTGGTGGAGGAACGCCAAATGCTCCAGGAGGAGGTGGAGGTGGTACGCCAAACGCACCCGGAGGAGGTGATGGTACCTCAAAAACCCCTACCGCTCCTGGTGATGGAAAAACACCTGGAGGCGGAGGACCTGGAACACCAGTCGATGAAACTGACGTGGTATCAGATAGTATAGTAATTTATGCAATATCAGGAGAATATATTCTTATTACATATTCTTGTAACGGTTCGATTTGTGGTAAAGTTGTAAATTGGGAAGGTGAAACAACAGAGTAAGTCAAAGATTGCGAGCAATGTTTTTTTTTTTTTTTTTTTTCAGGTTAAGTTTTAATTAATTTATTTTTGTTTGGTAGTGAAATGCAATTTAAGGATGTATGTACGGACAGTAGAATTGTCAAGAGTATGTATGACGATAATGACAATGGTGGATTCTTATATGCCTGTTATAAACAAGAAACGGAAACGATCATTTGGACAACCTATACGGCACCGTAAGCAAAACATTATCATCAGTCAATCTTACGCGAAGCGCTTCATTTAACATTTTTTTTTTCTTTTTTTTTTCTCTCTTCTCTCAACGTACAGAAATATCGAAAATAATAAGGTATTAGAAAAGAACAGCGGAGTGATAAGGAATATAACAAAATTTTCCTCCAATTTAACACATATATTTGGAACCGAAGATGGAGGGTATTCGATAGTAGTAGGAGATTATAATAGTAAATTGGAAGAAGCATTTATGCCGCCATGGACTATATCAGTGTATTTTATACCAATAGATAGTAATGAACATAAGGGACCATATGAGCTTTATTCACAAACAACAGAAACAGTTACGGCATTAGAAATAAAGAGATGTAATATAGCATATCAAATGTACGGTTATAGTTGTATAATACATTATATCACACCTGCAGGGAGAAAATTCCTAGATATAGATTTCGTATCATCAGGAGCTATATTGAATACATTTGAATTTGTAGTGGAACAAATACCTGCCGATAGTGAGGTGATTGATATCGAAACACTATATTATGGTGGATTTTGTATTGTCGCTACTACACAAGATAATAATATACAAGGATTCGCTTATAGTAATAATGGTACTTTTGGTAAAATTTGGGGATTACCTACTACTAATACTTATAGTTCGGAATTTGGTGTAAAAACCGATAATACCGTTTGGGCTATTGCTGATACGAATCAAGCATATGAATGGACTTGTGTTTTGTCAACCGCTCTTCAATCATACACAACAAGTAAATTAATCTTTCAATAATATTTTTTTTTTAAAAAAAAAAAAGTTTTTTTTTATAATTCTCTTTGTTTTTTTAGTTGAAGGAAGAAATGGACAAGGACCATTTGGTGGACCAGGAGGATATGGTTCATCAACGGTAGAAAGTACAGTACCAGAAAAATATGCAAAAGTATCAACAAATCTTAAAGAAGTCGCAATCACATACAAACCAACTATTGAATCATCAACTGGAACCGTTTCATTTTATCAAACGAGTGAAAATGGTGATGACCCTATACTTAAACAAATAGTGCAAACAAATGATCCAAATTATGTTACAATAAATGGAAATGAAATGTTAGTTAAAGTAGCAAATTTTACCTTTAATAAAGGAAATACTTCTTATGAAATTATTGTTGATAATGCAGCTGTTAAAGCTAGTGGACAAAATCTTGTTGGTATTAGACAAGGTGCTTGGATAGTTACTACGCGTAAGTAATTTAGTATTCAAGCGTTGGATTTAACCGTATTTTGATCATATGGACTAACTTGAATTTTCAAAATTTCAGTTTCAGATAATGTTGAAACATCCGAAAAAAATCTAGGTAAATTATCACAACTTTAAAATATTAGAACGTTGATTGATTGATTAATTGATTGATTTTCGAATAGGTGACAAGAAAGCGACCGTTCTATTGACAGCAAAAGGAACTGAAAAATTTATAAAATCAAATAAAGCTGATAAAGAGAAATATGTTAATGATATGTCTACTGAAATTACAAAAGTGCTTGCATGTGATCCCGGTCGTATTTCTATACCAAGTGATAGATATCAGTATAATCAAACCTTACCAGATCAAATCTTATTGCGCGTAGATATTAAAGAATCCAAAGCACCAAATGAACTTATACCGTATAGTTTAATAAAGGCTTTGAATGACGCGATTCTCTTAAAAAATATTTCGTCTATATCAAGAGAAGAACATACAAACGATTTAGATTCCCTATATGGAGCCGAACAAACTCGTAAGAAAATTTTTTCATTTTCATTTTTTTTTTTTTTAAAAAAAAGAGTACTTTAGTTCTTCATTATAATGATAACATATTTTATATTTAATAGCTAATTTATGGAGGAATTATAGATGGATATTATTGGGAGTTGTATTAGGATTATTGATTTTATCAATATTTTGGATCTTTGCAATGAGAAAGTACAAGAAAGGAAGGAATTTCTTGGCAATTTTCTTTTTCCCACTTGTTATAATAGATTTCTTTTTGGATATTATAGTATTAGCAGAACACGGACGAGATCGAATTTGGTTCAATATCTGCTGGTTGGTTTAATAATTAATTTATTTCACAATTGTTTTTGTGTAACCGTAGATATGTATATTCTAATGCGCTCGTTACCTTTTTCCCTTGATAGTTACGTCTTTTTAATAATACCATTATTATTTAATTCGATAATTGCGTTAATTATTATAAGTAAACAATTAAAGGAATCGTCCTCATTTACAAAGTGGTGGAAAAGGTATTCAAAAAGTGCATTAGGTTTCACATTCTTGTCAAGTATAGATTTGGAAGCATTGAATTTTGCATCATCAAAATGTGGTGGCAAAGAATTATTAAATGCGAGATTCACGGAACCAGGATTAAAAGAAATTTCGAAATATGCTATGATTATAGTATTAATTGAAGATCTACCGCAACTAATAATTTATTCATTATATCAAAGATATACAGCCAAACCAGCAATTATACCTATATTGGCATTGTCATCAGCATGCATAGTACTCTTATTTAAAATAATTTCGTCTATTTATTTAATATATATTTATAAGCCTGATAAACCTATGACAAGTACATTAGAAAAGGATGATGACTTAGGTAGCGATACAAGTAGTTTGGAAGAAGGTGAAAAGGGCGGATCAAGAAATGAAGCGGCACCTATAACTGATACTACCACTGATCGTCCAACTGGAGGAGTAACCGAGTTTGATGATGTTGGTAGATCTGTTGAGCCTCAATCATCCGAAATGAATATAGTGTCCTCAGAAAAAGAACAGGTCACGTCTCACATTCCCACTAATAGTAAAAATGATGATATTGAAGGTGTAGGAAAAATGGCAGGAATCGTAGGAGTTGCTAGTTATCATGACGTTGATCATGATCATAAATCTCAAAACGGTGATATAGGAGATTTTGGCAAAGCGAGTCGAGAACAAGAAGAACTAAAAAGTACTGCAGTAGGGGGCAGAACGGAAGAAAGTACTGCAACTAGCACTGTCACTCGTATCATATCAGAAACTGGTGGAATAGAGCATACATCTTTTACAATAGGTGAAGTTGGTGGAGTTGGTGGTGATGGTGGAGAAAATGTCACCGGTTATAGGACTATTTCACAACCTGGTGAAGGTGAAACCGAAACTAAGTACACCTTTGAAACCACAGAATATTCAACGAGTAGCGTTGGTGGTTTTGTAGTTCATAGTAGGAGTGAAGGTGTTGGTGAACCTGAATATTTTTCTATCGGTACCCACACCAAGTATTTTACGGAAAATGGTAGAATTAAAAAGCACACTGATGATGGTGAAGGAGATGATACTTACACCGAATATTATATTGAAAATGGGGAAATTAACAAACATACTCGTACCGAATATTATTATACAGAAGATGGTAAAATTATAAAACGTACTGTTAAGGATGGTGACGAAACTGAACATTATTCAATTGGTACTCATTCTGAATATTACACAAAAGATGGTAAAATTAAAAATCGCACCGATAATAAGGATGTTGGTGAAGGAGATGATACTTATACCGAATATTATATTGAAAATGGTGAAATTAAAAAACGTGCTCTTACTGAATATTATTATACCGAAGATGATAAAATTGCAAAACGTGTCGTCGGTAAGGATAGTGTTGAAACTGAATATTATACTATCGCTCTTACCGATTATTATACAGAAGACGGTAACATTAAAAAACGCACTTACAGTACGGATGATGGCGATATTTACACCGAATATTATATTGAGGATGGTGAAATTAAAAAACGTACTCTTATTGAATATTTTTATACCGAAGGTGATAAAATGAAAAGACGTACCGTTAGTGATGAAATTTATTCTATTGGTACTCCTAATGAATATTATACAAAAGATGGTAAGATTAAAAAACGTAATAGTAAGGATGATGATGAAGATGATGATAATTTTACCGAATATTATATTGAAGATGGTACAATTAAAGAATGTACACGTACTGAATATTATTATATCGAAGATGGTAAACTTATAAAACGTACCATTGTTAAGGATGATGATGAAGGAGGTAGTACTCGTGCTAAATACTATGCTGAAGATGGTAAGATTAAAAAACGTATCGTTGGCAAGGATGATGATGATAATGATACTTCAGCCGCTTCTTCTTTAGGTGAAAAGAAAGTAAAATTAGGAAAGAAGGAACAGAAGGGAAAGAAATCTTTATTTAAAAAGTTGAAGAGTGGATCTGATAAATCTGATAGTTCTTCATCTAGTAGTAGTAGTTCGGATGATGATTCTAGTGATGATGAAACCAAAGAAAAAACAAAACATATCTAGAACGATTATGTAAAAATTTTTATAGTGAAGTAGTATAGTGAACTATTTTGCATGTATATACATACTGTATGTAGAAAAATTATTATTGTAATAAAAAATCCATAAATTAAACAGAACTAAATAAATAAAAACAAAAAAAAAATAGTAAATTAAAGCTTTAATACCATTTTATAAATTTATTAATATAAGATATGATTGGTTAAATATTATAATCTAAAAATTTTTAATAGTATTCTTTAAGAAGTTAAATACTATTAATATAGTCATGTAATATATTATTTTATTTTTTTATATAATTTTAAAATTTTATTAATTATAAATACTAATTATTTAATTATATTAATATGTTAATATTAAAATAATACTTTTATATTATTAACTTTTATATTTTAATACAGCTATTTTTTTTTATTAAAATTTTCTTAGATAATTATTTTTTTATTTTTTTTTATTTAACTTTTATATATTTAATATTGGTTTTTATACTAAAAATTTTTAATATAAATAATATACTTATAATAGAATTTATTATATCTTTGAATAATTCATTTTTA